GGGGCCATTTGAGGGGGTAATCTCATTGGATCTGGTGGAGGACTTGTTCCATGGGAGAATTAAGGGGCGTATATTGCTCGAACCGACCGGGCGGTCGGGCCGGTGCCGATCGGTCAGTGCGAGGAGGTCGGTCGGTATATTGAGGTGTTTGGCTGTTATACTGGGTGTTTCTGGGTTCCGAGTCATTTCTCTTTTCTCTGGGAGTCAGGTTTTTGGATATTGGATCCTGCCGAGCGGTTAGTGAATCTTCGGCATTCATGTATTTCTGGGCTTTGGATAGTAGGGCTGCCATGGAGGTCGGGGGGTTTTTGGAGAGGGAGAAGAGGAAATCGGACGATCGTAGCCCGGCCATGAAAGCCGTGAGGATGACCTTATCGTCATTCTCCGCTACTTGTAGGGCTTCGGTGTTGAAGCGGGTAACGAAGCTGCGCAGCGACTCCTCCTCGGTCTGACGAATGTTGAGGAGTTGGGTTGCAGGGCGGTGTTGGCGCTGGGCTCCAATGAAATGGCTGAGGAAGGAGTCGCTAAGATAATGGAAAGTGGAGACAGAGTCCGTTGGTAACTAACTGAACCACAGTCGGGTTGACCCTTTCAGTGTCACAGGGAAAGCCCGACACATAATCTCGTTGGGGAAGGCATGAAGGATCATGAGTGTACGATAGGTCAGCGTTCTTCAATCCGAATGGCATTACTCGGTAATGGTAGGTACCTCGGTCGGTGATGAAGGATGTATGTTCCCGATCGGACGGGTGCATCAGGATTTGGTTGTAGCCAGAGAAAGCATCCATGAAGCTGAACATTTGATGACCAGCCGTGGCGTTGACCAGCAGATCTATGCGGGGGAGAGGATAGCTGTCTTTGGGGCAAGCTCGGTTCAGGTCAGAGTAATCGACACAAAGTCGCCATTTGCCACTGTTCTTGCGGACGAGGACTACGTTTGACAAACATTTAGGGTAGTCGACATTTTTGATGGATTGGACCTCACGGAGCTTGTCGACCTTTGCAGCTATAAGAGTATTGCGCTTCGGATGAAAGATGCGCTGCTTCTGGCGGTAAGGTTGGAAATGAGGTTCAATACTGAGGTGATGAGTTATGAAAGAAGGGTCAATGCCTGGCATATCTGAATGAGTGCAGGCGAATACATCATTGTGCTCGGTCAGAAAGGCAGTAAGGTTGGCCTTAGCTTGGGGGGATAGTTGGCTGCCGATCTTAGCAGTTTTCATTGGTTTGGTGGGATCGATGGGAATCTCAACGAGCTCCTCCACCGGTTCGCCTCTGACCAGCTCGTCCTCATCTCGGGCGTCAAGTCCTTCAATGATCATGGCCTCCTTCAGCTTGACTTCCTTGAGTGAGGCGACATAACATTCCTTGGCTATGGTCTGCTCTCCCCGTACTGTCCTGACACCCTGGTCGGTGGGAAACTTTATGGCGAGGTGATAGGTTGAAGTGATAGCTTGAAAAGCGTTAAGGGCGGTGCGACGAAGGATGATGTTGTAGGCAGAGGGACAGTCGACCACAAGGAAAGTGAGCAACTTGGTAGTCTGCCGTGGGTATTCGCCGATGGTGATGGGGAGATCGATGGAGCCGATGGAGGTCACTCGGTCACCAGTGAAACCGACCAAGGGGGTTTGGAGGGGAGACAGACTTTCCTCCCCAATCTTGAGCTGGCGGAAGCAGCTGAGGAATATGATGTCTAAAGAACTACCGTTGTCGATGAGAACCCGTCTGACTTTATAGTTGGAGAGAAGGGCCAAAATGACGAGAGGGTCATCATGAGGATAACGGATGCTAGTACGGTCGGCGTCCGTGAAGCTGATGGGCTCTGTCCACTGCTTGGGTTGTTTGGAGGGTCGGTCTACCGTGTCCACTGCTCTGTCCGAGCCTTGCCTTATCTTCCTGAGCTCTGCCCTCTAAGCGGAGCACGACGGTCCGCCACAAGCAAGGCCACCAGAAATGACTTGGATTTCACCAACTGGCGGAGGGGGTTTACCTGGGGGCCGAGGCTATTGTGGGGGGCGGTCATGGCCTTGGTTAGGTTGGGCTGGCTGCCGGGGTGGGGTACGCCGGCGGTTGTTTCTGAGGGGCTTGGTTCTTTGCCTCTGTTGTGAGCGGGTGTCCGTTAATCGATTGAGACGCCCTTGGCGAATGAGGGTCTCGACCTGATCCTTGAGGTTGATGCAGTCATCAGTGTTGTGGCCATGGTCTTGGTAGAAACGACAATATTTGGACTGGTCTTTCCGGTTAGAAGGGGTTCGTGAGGGTAGGGGCCATTTGAGGGGGTAATCCCGTTGGATCTGGTGGAGGCCTTGTTCCATGGGAGAATTAAGGGGTGTATATCGCTCGAACCGACCGGGCGGTCGGGCCGGTGCCGATTGGTCAGTGCGAGGAGGTCGGTTGATATATTGAGGTGTTTGGCTGTTATACTGAGTGTTTCTGGGTTCCGAGTCTTTTCTCTTTTCTCTGGGAGTCGGGTTTTTGGATATTGGATCCTGCCGAGCGGCTAGTGAATCTTCAACATTCATGTATTTCTGGGCTTTGGATAGTAGGGCTGCCATGGAGGTCGAGGGGTTTTTGGAGAGGGAGAAGAGGAAATCGGACGATCGTAGCCCGGCCATGAAAGCCGTGAGGATGACCTTATCGTCATTCTCCGCTACTTGTAGGGCTTCGGTGTTGAAGCGGGTAACGAAACTGCGCAGCGACTCCCCCTCGGTCTGACGGATGTTGAGGAGTTGGGTTGCAGGGCGGCATTGGCGCTGGGCTCCAATGAAATGGCTGAGGAAGGAGTCGCTGAGATGCTGAAAAGTGGAGACAGAGTCCGTTAGTAACTGACTGAACCACAGTTGAGCTGACCCCTTCAGTGTCACAGGAAAAGCCCGACACATGATCTCGTCAGGGAAGCCATGGAGGATCATGAGGGTACGGTAGGTCTCCAGATGGCCGACTGGGTCCGTTGTACCGTCAAAGGAGTCAATGGTGGGCATTTTGAACTTGGCGGGCAAAGGTTTGTCCCGGATGGAGGCAACAAATGGTGAATTTTCCGTGGTAGAGGGTTTATGCTGAATATTCTGCATGACCCCTTGGAGTTGGAGCTTCATTGCTCGGAGCTCAGCATCCTAGAGGGGAGCGTGGTCACCATGGTCAGTCAATGGAGGCTGGACGCTGTTGGCCTTCCCTTCAGGGGCTGGTGCTACGACCGACGGGTGTGGGGGTGGTGGTGGTGGATTTATATGTGGGTGGGGAGGTTACAAACCTTCCAAGTTGGGTGGATGGAGTTGTGGAGCAGTATGGCTCGGGGCTCTTTTTTGGTTGGGGGGAATATCTGGAGGTGGTGGAGGAGGCATCGGAAGATTTCTTTGGAGTAAAGCATTTATCAAGGCCTGGTTTTGCTCGGCCATGCGGTTAATGCTGTTGGTAAGCTCGATAAAATACTGTGGTGGGTTGTTTGGATTGGGGGGGTCGGCCTGATGGTCGGCAACATTATTGTGAGAAGCCATGAATCTAGTCGTGACCATGCACTTTGACGGGTAGGAGAAAGAGGTTGTTGGAATGGGGTCTCCGGCGACAATGAACACAACTAGCGCGAGGAGCAAAGCTTTCCCATAGACGGCGCCAACTGTTGATACAGTTTATCCCAGTGAATGGAGCGAACTGGTCCAAGTTCCTCAAGCCCAAGCCCAAATGATCGAGCCCACCGGATAACCTGCAAACAAGTTCAACGGGGAACGGGATAGTCCCCCAGTGAACCCTCCGACGAGCAAGTTAGGAAGAGAAGTAGGGTATATGGGGGGAAATTAGAGATAGAAAGCTTAACTTTTTTCTTGTCTTCAACGTTCGCTTATATCCTTTGGCAATCATTTCGCTGTCCCTTCCGACCTGCTCTCCTCGCCGAAAGCCTATGTTGTAGTTTACCTTGCTCAGGGTAAGGGGGTCCTGTTCCGGCGGAGAGATGTTGTCGTTATAAATGCTGTGATGGGCTGCATTAATGGTGATGTGCAGTGGCAATAACTTTGCAGATCTTTGTCTGCTGATGTGGCTCGTCCTTCTCTTGCCGTGTGTCTGAATGTCTTGGCTCTTTATGCCATGTTGGACTCCAGCTGTCCTGGACCTCACCAGCTGGGTTATGTACTGGGCTCCAAGTGATGGGCTTGGATTGTCCATAGGTGATTCGTGGCCTTTATGGACTTATACATATCAGTGAGAAACCAACAATTGGCTCCAGTTGGTGCCAATGCAATTTATTGATTTGGTTTTTGGGTACTTCCATTATTGGGGTTTTGTTTTTGGTTTGGGAAGAGGGGTTTTGTTAAAAAATGATTCTAGGTTCTGTATCTTATTTCTCATTGATTATTTTAGCTGTCTTGTAATTGGGTTTTTTTTTTTTGGCTTGAATGCAAGGTTCACAGACAGATCTGGAACTTGATGCTGGGGTTCTGCTTTGTTCCTACATTTCAAATGAATAAATCTTATATTACTTGGAGGTATTCTCAGAAGTAATGAATTAATACACCTAAGATTTGGAATTGGGAATGAAGCCATTGGTCCGTGTAGCATATTCACGTATGTATCAAATTAATATTTCCCGTAAAGGATTTAGCTAGTTTGATATTGCTTTGGATTTCAGAACTCTAGCATTGTTACTTGTATGGTTCTTTTTGATTTTTGTATCATTATTCTGTTTCTCTCATGTAGTGGGTGGTTATCCTTATCAGATAAACCTCTTCTTTTCAAATAAAGAGAGCATTATAAAATAACCTTTTCAAATTATTAAAACATAATCCATTATGGACTCACAGGCCCAAACATAATGGTCACTATTATTATATTCATATAGATATAAGAAAAATAAAAATAAAAAAAACAAAACCCAAAAAAAATCTATTTGGATTAGTCAACAAGAGAATGTTAAATTCCTATACCCCAAACACGTGGTAAATAAAAAATAAATATCTGCGACTGAGGATTGTGATGCTTTAACTTGTGATGCTTTAAATGCTCAACTGCCCAAATAATTTAGTTTAAAATGTTAGTATTATCAACTTCTATATTTCTATTGAATCTTTTGTCATCTTCATTGCCAAAAAAACCAAACCATACAATTGAGAGGGAGATATGGAAGCGAAGCTAGCAAGACTGGGAAGCTCACTCCTTGTACCCAGTGTTCAAGAACTGGCCACAGAATCACTCACCACCGTCCCACCGCGGTATGTTCGCCATGATCATCAGAACCATCCAATCTCATCGTATGGTTCTCGTTGTCCCAATGATGTTCCGATCATCGACATGGACAAGTTGATTTCTGGAGATCATATGGATTTAGAATTGAATAAGCTTAACTATGCATCCAGAGAGTGGGGTTTCTTCCAGGTATTTACATATATTTTCATTTTATTTTCAAATTCATGATGTTATGTTATGTAAATAAAAATTAAGAAATCAATTCTTATCCAAAAATAAAAATAAAAATAAAAAATCATTATTTGTGAAGATCAACTTAACCGGGCAGAAAACAAGTTTTTCCATAAGGGGATTTGGTCATAACCCCCTCACTATCTAATTTCTCTTTCAAAAGGATAAGAATTATATAAGTACTTTCAAAACCCCTTAATATTTTAAAACTTGTTTCTTTTACTATATTACCCTCATATCTATCAGCTCTTCTATTAAGACATTTTCACTATGTATTTCAGAGTAAAATTTTACTTTGTATGAAAGTAAAATTTTACTATGAATGAGAGTAAAATTTTACACTCTGAAACTAAAAGTAAAATTTTACTCTGTATAAAAGTAAAATTTTACTCTGAAAAATAAGTAAAAGTAAAATTTTACTCTACATCATTCTCTCTACATTTTCACTATGTATTTCAGAGTAAAATTTTACTCTGTATGAAAGTAAAATTTTACTCTGAATGAGAGTAAATTTTACACTCTGAAACTAAAAGTAAAATTTTACTCTGTATGAAAGTAAAATTTTATTCTGAATGAGAGTAAAATTTTACACTCTGAAACTAAAAGTAAAATTTTACTCTGTATGAAAGTAAAATTTTACTCTGAAAAATAAGTAAACTGTAAGACTCTGAAGCTAAAAGTAAAATTTTACTATGTATAAAAGTAAAATTTTACTCTGGTTCTGTCAAATGAAAAAAACAGAGCAATAGAACTAGAATAAAATTTTACTCTGGTTCTATCAAATGAAATTTGATGTTTACTCTGAAAAATCGATGGAATTTTGAGTTTTGAACTTTGAATCAGGCCTATAATCCTTGAATCAATCGATGTTTACTTTGAAAAACATTGAATCATGCCTATAATCCTTGAATCAGGCCTATAATTTGAAAATTTTAGAGAAATCTCAATTTTTCATACCCCGGTTCTTCAGATTTTTCAGATTTTTCAGATTTTACAAAATTTTCAGATTTGTAAAACTTTGAGTTTTCAAAAATCTATATATTCGAATTCAAATCTCAAAACACACAAACACACACACACATATATATATATATATATATGTTACAGATCGGAATATGTAGATATATATATATATATATTCGAATTCAAATCTCAAAACACACAAACACACACACACATATATATATATATATGTATCAGCGCGATTTGCAAGTTCTCCACAGCTCCGGCCATGGAGGAAGCTAGGATTAGAAGAGAGAGACGAGATAAAAGATGAACAGTTGAAGGAGAGTTGCAGGAGGAGAGTTGAGAAGATGCAGAGAGAGATCGTCGGAGCTTAGGAATGATACAGCTCCAGCCATGGACGAAGCTAGGGTTAGAAGTGAGAGACAAGAGAGAAGATAAATTTTGTATCTGGATTGTGTATATGTGAGGGTATAATAGTCTGATGAAATATTTAAATAATAAATTTTGTCCTTTATGCAAGATTTTATAATTATGAGGGGGTTTAAAAAGTATAATTTTTTTCTTAGTCCTTCTAACAATGAAAGGAAGGTAAAGGGGGTTTATAGCCAAATTTCCCTTTGTATTAAGCTAAGGGAAATATCAATCTAGTGAGTTTTCGAAAAAAATTATAAATAAGTAATAAACTTTTATATATTAATAATTAAAATTATAAATTTTTTCACTATCATGTTTTTTAATTGTACAACTGATAAGTAATTTAAAAAAAGCTTAATCATAGAGGGGTAACCTCCGGGAGTAGATTCTATAAAAAACTGAGACTCCAAAGATCACCTTTATATGGTTGCTACATAACATGGCCACTCAAATATATAGCAATAGTCACGAGGTTACACACAGACGGGAATTCAAACTCACAATCTTGACACTGAGTATTGTTCGTCCAACTTAAAAGATTCGTCCTACCAATTATATATGTTGTCGCTCAAATAACTGACCCCAAAAAGAGTGGAATCTGGTAACTTATGGCGTATACTCCAAAAGCTAAACACTCAAAAGATTTTCTTTCTTTTTTTTTTTTATAGAACAAGTGGAAGAATTATTGGCATTTAGGCCCTACAATCATGTTGTGTATCTTTTTTATTTTATAGTATTTTTTTGGTCTGCATGTTGAATTTTAATGTCTTTAGACGAAAGAACGATGTAATGATAGCTACAATATATCTATTTGGCAATCTAGGACACAAAAATAACAATAAAAGTTTATTAAGTTAGCACCAAAATAAGTTTTATAATGTTTTCAGATTGAACAGACTCTGTTGAGATCTTACTAACAGTGTGTGGTAACACCCCTTTTATTTGGTATTAAGCTGGCAAAAATAGAAAAGAAAATACACTCTCTCTCTTATCTTGTCTTGGTTACTCTTATGCATGTTGTTATGCAATTTATTTTTTATTTATTTATTTATTTTTTTGGTGTACATTTTATATATTTTTATGATTTATGATACATGTTAATAATTTTTTCTCTTTTCTCCAAATCACTCCATCCAATCCGACTGTAATTTGTACGAGGCACCAAAATTAACATAGCAAGCAAGTGATTCCAATCTCAATGCACACTTACAAAACTTTCAAATTGTTTTCAATAGATTTGAATATCCGAATCAATTATAGTGCAGCAAATGCCAAATCTGTGTCATTGAGCGTGTGTGTATTTTAGATTTGTTCAGGAAAAAAATCCAAACATATCATTTAAAAAAATAAAAAAACTGAAACAATAGGAATGTGGTGCAGTTGATAAATCATGGAGTGAGCTCTTCATTAGCGGAGAAGGTGAAGATGGAGACTCAGGAATTCTTCAACCTCCCAATGGAAGAGAAGAAGAAATTTTGGCAGGACCCTGGTGATGTTGAAGGATTTGGGCAGATCTTTGTTGTATCAGAGGAGCAAAAGCTTGATTGGGCTGACCTCTTCTTCCTCACCACCCTTCCAACCCATTTGAGAAAACCCAATTTATTTCCAATGCTCCCTCTCCCCTTCAGGTACTCTCTCTCTCTCTCTCACTCTCTCTCTCTCTCTCTCTCATATATATATATATATATATGCATGTACTCTATATATTGTCGGAGGGTATTCTTACCCTAAAATTGTGCAGAGCATTACTAAAATCATGTCCCAACTAGTTTGCCACATATGAGCCACGTTTGACTTGCAAGCAAGGGGGTGAGATATAACTCTTTTCTTTTGACATAAATTATCTAACGTCCAGTTCAGATTTTGTGATCCTAACTAACTTATCCTAGGGATCCTTCATCAAGACCTTTTGTTCAGTAGAAGTGGGACAACTTGTTCCCAAATAAAACTTTCATTATAAAATGACTAAATAACCCTTCTATCCTGCTTAATCCTATCCATTGTTGTGCTGCATTTCTCTCCTTCAAACAGACTTCAACAAAGGCAAAAACCTGAGAAAATGTCTAGTAAACCAAAATCACAGCCAACAATTTCATGCAGTAACTTGAATCACAGTTCTCATTCCCATATCTAGAGCTATCAAACATGGCTTGTCTAGTGTGCTGCATTTCCAAACTATACTAAACTAAATCAAAAGATAAAAAATCTCAACCCAATAAGCGAGGCAAGAACTAGAACCACGGTTTTCATGGCTACAGTTACAGTTGATTGATCCAAAAACTCGGTCAAATCAGCATGGGTTTGCTAAGTCTTTTCATGCAGACACACTCTGGAAGTTTACGCGGCTGAGTTAAAGCATCTTGCCATGAAGATTCTTGACTACATGGCTAAAGCTTTGAAAATGAAGGCAGAGGATATGAGGGAGTTGTTTGAGGAAGGGATGCAGACAATGAGGATGAACAACTATCCTCCATGTCCACAACCAGAGCTGGTCGTTGGCCTCCCCCCACACTCCGATGCCGTTGGCCTCACTATCCTCCTCCAGCTCAATGAAATGGAAGGTCTGCAGATTAAGAAAGATGGGATGTGGGTTCCTGTTAAACCCCTCTCTGAAGCCTTCGTGGTCAACATTGGAGACATTCTAGAGGTAATAAACCACACATTAAGTTTTGTGTTGTTTTAAATGGACTTCAATGAGTAAACTGGTAGAATGGTTATCAGTCTACGTTTGTTTCGATGAAAAAACATTTCCTCAAGAAAAATAGTTTTTTTAAAAATGTTTACTGTAAAAAAACATTTTTCAATGTTTGGTTGTAACTTTGAAACTAATGTGCATAGTTGGATTAGCAGTGGTGATGGTGATGGTGGCAAAGGCGGTGGAGGTTGTGGTAGTCAAGGTGAAGGTGGTGGTGGTGGTGAAGGTTGTGAAGTGGACAAGCTGTTGGTGGCAGAGGCAAAGGGGTGGCGACAAAGGTTGCAATGATGGTGGGATGGTAGTAGTGTGGTGGTACTAATAATATTTCAGTCCAGAAAATGTTTTCTACCTTTCAAAAATGAAAAACATTTTTTACCCAAATAAGTTTGTTTTGCTATTGACCAAAGAATTTTTTTTGTTGTTGACTGTCGTTTTCCATCAATACCAAATCACTAAAACAAATAAAGCGTATGTTGAAATCAAAAGGACACCCATAGGGTAGTCGAGCATCAAGTCGCAATACGCAGCATTACCTAAAAAAAAAAACTGTGAAAGTTGAATTTGTAAAATAGGACCTAAAATTTCATGATCTAGTTTATCCTGCTATGAGATCTCTTACCTTGGTTTGCAGATTGTTACCAATGGAACTTATCGTAGCATCGAGCATCGAGCAGTGGTGAACTCTAGCAAGGAGAGACAGTCAATTGCCACATTTTACAACCCAAGACTTGACGGAGAAATGGGTCCTGCACCTAGTTTGATTAGCCCACAAACACCAGCACGGTTCAAAAGAATTAGGGTTCAAGATTATTTCACAGGCTTTTTCGCTCGAGAGCTTCATGGGAAATCATACCTAGATGTCATGAGGGTTGAAAATGAGGAAAGCCAGAACAGTACTTGAAAATTCTGTAACAGTAATGTACTAAAACTTGTTTCATCTTTTGCTATTAAAGTTGTAAAGAGTACTGAAGCCGCTTAAAAACCAGCCTGTCACATAAACCTTACTATGAAATTCCTCATCAGAACTAGAGTTTTTATTTTTTGGATAAATTCCTCAACAGAACTCGAGTTATAAATAATATTTCATTATACAGACAATAGATGCTAAATGGCGATTGCTAAGGGATTTCTAGATGTTGTACTCTTTCACTTCACCCTTTAACCAGAGGCAATAAGCCTTAGGCATAATTTTCACAAAAATGGTTGCCCTCAAGTCGAAACCTACAACCTCAAGGCAAATAGGGCATACTTTAACTGCCCTTGATAGAAAATTCATAGATAAGGATGCTACCAAAATTAAGTAGGTGTTTGGCATGTATTAAAAAAGTGCACGTTTTTGCATACATATACTTATTTGTGTCACATCTATCAACATCTCTATTTTTCTATCCGCTTTCTCTATTTTTCTACATATTTTTGTATAAAAAGTCAAAAAGTGCACTTATTTAAAATATCTCAAACCACCCTTAAAATGCACTAATAGAGGAACAAATAAGAGATTTAAAAACTAAATTTTTTTGTTGCAAAAAATATTTAGGGATCAATTCTTGTCATCGCAAAAATTATCTCTAAAAGATCGTTATGAAATGTAAAAAATAAAATTTTTACTTACCAAATTTTGAAAACATCGCTAATAAATAAATGGGATAAAATAATTTAGTTTTAAAAGGATTTATTTTTTGAAACAAAAATTTTAATCCGAAAAAGATATTAATTCATCACAAATGTCCAGATTTCGTTGCTAATAATGACACTATTGAAAACAAAAATATTTAGTCCCTAAAAAGTGCTTTTGTCTCCAAATTTTTATCTCTAAAAAATTAATTGATTGTAGTAACCATTTCATTTTATCATTTTTATTTCTAAAAAGTGAATAATTTTTTTTAAAGAAAATACTAGTAATTTTTCAGTAAATGTCTGTTGGTTACATATTTTGCACAAGCCAATTACAACTTAACACTTGGCACAAGGAGAGCAATTTGGAGAGTTAATATAAGTTGCCAATCAAAGTCGGACACGTGACAATTCATATTGGTAATAATGGATCTGCGTGGCTCTGGAACAATCGAGAGACATAAGATGACATGGCCTAACTGTTACTCATAAATTTAAATTCAAAATCAGGAGGGAAGTCTAACTACAAGAGTAGCGTAGTGGGACATATTGTGAGAGAACATGTTCAACAATCATGGGAGGACGCTTTGACGGTTGGAAGCCCACTTCGATGGTTACCACTGGGAAATATAAATAGTAAGGAATGCCCCAGAATGAAGGACCCAGACTCAGATCCAGAAATCATTTTATTTACTTCATTTTCTTGACAGTTTTACATTTCTAGCACTTTATTTCCTGTATTGCACTTTATTTCCTAGGAGTAGTTTTTCAGTAGCTTGTTGCTGTGAACCTCGTCGAGGCTGGTGTAGACACCCCATTTTTGACCGACCTTAAGACTCAGATGTCATCGATTGAGCGCTCGGTGATGACGCATATTATGCTCGTTCTGAGGTTGCGGAGTCTCGGCTGAAAGCCTTTCCTCCGGACTTCGGGGCTCCTTTGTGTTTTGCCTCGGTTTGTGAACCAGGTCCTATTTTCTCTATTTTTCTCTTCCCGAAGGGAGGGAGAAGTCTCGTAGACCATCTCTCAGTGGCCGTAGGCTACGTTTCGTGGTCGTAGACCACTTTTTTTGTTTGGAGACCGGTTTTTGGTTTTTGGAGCCGTCGGCCGTGTGCCTCGGTTCGGGACCGCTTAACTACCTTCGTTTGCTCCGCTTTTTGGCACACACCTTGTTTCCTCTCCTTAGAGGGACACTGTGGCCCGAGAGATCACCTTTGTGGTCGCATGCCACCTCCGGTGCCTGACAGTCAGCTTTCGGGGCCCCGGCTGGCATGGACCCTAGTTTCATGGCTAGGAAGGTGGTAGTATGGTAGGAGACCACCTTTTCTTCTTGGAGACCACTTTTCTTTTTGCCGCCCGATTTTCTTATTAGAGGGGTGGTCTCCCTCACTTTGGGCCACAATTTCTGGTCTCTCATACCACCACTGAGTTGCATTAACCTGGGAGACCACCAATATGGGTAGGCCGACCACCTTTGATGATTGACCCTTTTGATCCCTTGGTCTCCCTCACTTTTGAGCCATAATTTCTGGTGTCCCACCATGCCACTGAGTTGCATTCACCTGGGAGGCCCCCAATATGGGTAGGCCGACCACCTTTTCTTCTTAGCCCTTTTGATCCCTGGTCAGCCGACTAGGGAGAGTGGTCGGCCAACCACCTAGACTGGTCGGCCAGCTTTCTATTTTTTTGTCTCATTGAGTTGAAGCCAGCTGTGCCAGCTGGAAGCCTCAGAATGCATCCTTCATACACGTGTATGGAGGATGTTTGAGCTTGGTTTTAAGCTTCTTGGAGAAGCTTTAGACCTTCTCCTCTACAAAGGGAAGGGCCCTCTTCCATTGCTAGGGTTCAGAATTTTGTTTAAGGCTCATGCATACACATCTCTTTGTATCTCTATCATTTAGCTTCAAAGGTTGAAGTTCTTGGCCCCATTGCCCTACACCTCCAAGCACAACACCTCCACTACCACTCTAAACACCTTAGAGCTGATTTTCAGAGGTTGAAAGCTTGCTACATTGGTCCAGAAGCTGCTGGCCCTCTTCTCTACAAGGGTAACACTCCATTTCCCTCATTTTGACATTATTTTGCTTCACATCTTAGCTCTATTTGCAAGCATTTTTGGGTTTTTTCATAAACTGAAAAATTTTTTGTTTTGAGCTTATAAACATGTTTGTTTAAGACATTTTTTCTGTTTGGGGTCATCTTCCCCTTTGCATGCTTCATTTCCTCATAGGGCTATGCATTAGAGCATTTGTGTTGGCCTTGGTTTGGCCTTTTAGCTACTGAAATCCAGTGGATTTTAAGTGGCTAACATGTGTATTTGAGCTTCAAAATTAGAGAGGGGTGACCCTCTCACCTCTTGTTCTCTTTACTAGCTTTGTTGGCCTTACAAAGGGGCTCCTACTTGCATGTTTCAAAGCCATATTTCAGGCCCTATTTGGTGAGTTTTAAGGTCTGCATAGGCTCTGTCTAGAGCCCATTTTTCCATATAAAGTGTCTATTATGCATGTGTAGAACAATCCTATTCAAGGCCTTTCAAAGGGGCTTCCATTTGCATGCTTCCCAGACTAATTTTAGGACCTTTTTGGTGGGTTTTAGGACCCGCATAACCTCTTTCTAGAGGTGGTTTTGCCATTTTGTGTGTCCATCATACATGTGTAGAATAACCCCTTGCATGGCCTTCCAAAGGAGCCTACCCCTTGCATAGCCTTTCAAAGGAGCACCTCATTCTAGCATGTGTTGACTGAGTTCCAGTGGGTTTTGGGTCATATTTTGGCATGCCTTGTTTCTGTTTTTGGCTGGTTTGGTAGTCCTTCACATGCTTCATATAGTTGTAGTGTAATTCATGGTTCACTAGTTTGTTCTGTATGATGTTTTGGCCGCCTTTCCTAGCATATTTTGGCCTTGCCTTAAACTGATTTTGTGCATGTTTTGGACTGCCTTAGCTCTGTTTTTGGGTCTCATGGTCGAATGATGCTTGTTTTGCATGCTTGTAGTTCAATGTCCATGCTTAGCTTTGAGTTTTGAGTTTTGAGGTCCACTACATGCATATACTGAGATGTTTTCTTGTTTTGGGGCCATTATACATCATATTTCAGAGCTTATATGAATGCCATATCCTCATGTTTTCTTCTTTTTAAGTGTGCTTGAGAGTTGTGCATGAATGCCTTGTTTTCGGACCATTGAATAAGCTCCATTTCTTTGCATTCCGAGCCATCATTTTAGGCCATTTCCCTACTGTTTCAGACCTGTCTAGGGTCTGTTTGGGGTTGGTTTTGCCATTGGTGCATTGCTTTGTGTACCTCTAGTGTAACCCGCTTCACTAGTTTCGGTACCCGGGCCATCTAGCATGCATTGTGTGACATATTCGCATGTTTCGAGATCATCTTTTATGCCATTTCAGTGCTGTGTCATGTGTGTTTGTATGCCATACTTCATCCCTTGCCATGCTTTGGTAGAGTTACATGTTGTGCCTTAGGGTCGATCCTTTGCATCTGTGCATGTTTGCATGTATTTCGGTTGTCTCATTTTCATCACATGGCCACTGATGTGAGTGTGGTTGAGGTCCACTCATATTGGTGTAAGTCCATCTTGCATTTGTATATGCCATTTAGTTCATGTGCATATGATAGTCTTCGTAAGTGTATTGTGTATGTCATATTATGTCACGTGCATTGTGTATGCCATTTTAGTCCATTACATTGCGTATGCTAGGTTGCATGTTAGTCGCATTGTGTATGCCATCTCATTGCATTGTGCTTGGGATAGGAGTTAGCCCAAACACGGGAAACGAGGGACGTTTCGCACTCAAAGTGACGAAACGTGTCTCAATTCCCGGTCGCCGATACTCCGGATTACCCATGATGGAGTTTAGGTCTTGTTGTGTTTTCATGTGCATTCATTTCACATCGAGTCGTGTAATTCGACTCCTCGGCCACCATGCATCGAGATGCGTGATTGGTGGCACGAGGATCGAGGTGTGTATACATATGTGAAAATACTTTGTCATGCCCCTTTCTTGCTCTCTGTTGCAGCAAACTAGAAATCAGCAGCCTTCTAGAGCTTTGCACAGCATTCCGGGATTAATTGCAAACAGAGGCAAATCGGGGCATTGCGAGGAATTCTTTGACGAGGTGATGCAAGCATGCATGCATCTTTCATCATTCGGAACAGAGCTGAGGCGATCCATGGATTTGCATACTAGTGAATTTTGCTTTCCTAGTTAATTTGTTAATTAATTAGGGTTTTTTTGTAATATTTAATTAGCTAGAGTAGTTAATTGTTTATTCGGACTGTATTATTTATTCGGACCCTCCGAGCGAGGACACAATTGTAATAAGTGTGCGTGCATGTGATGTATGTCTTCCAACCCCACGTCTTTCTCCATTTTATTTACCAGCTTATAATGGTTAGATTAGGGCATGTTTCAATTAGCATATTTATGATCGCATGATTGCATTCATTCATTTGTTTTGCATGCACCGGGC